TTTTGGCTCCCAAACCAGCTGGTGACAAGCCAGAAGCATTCCCATTACTGCTAAATACAACTTTCAAGCTGCAGTGATTGTAGCCCACATACATGATTTCCCTCATTAAGCCTTGATGAAGGCAGTATGTTTTGGACCCCCGAAATGTGTTGGATACTCTACTCAATTGTCTCCTGACCCTACTGGAAAAAAGTTGTATTTGGACTATTTTAATTGGTGTGGCATTTCAATCCCTACATCTATGATACAGTATTAGAGCAGTTAGAGGCTCTGACATATTAAAGTACTAAAGGGCCAGGTATAGTGGATATATATATTGTTATGGGTGCACATAATAAAATCAAAGCCAGTTTTATTTAGTATATAGTGTCAGGATCCGTACATTTGGAGAAATTTAGGTTGTTGAGTCTTACAACCTACCCTTTTGAAAAAGTCGAGTACGACGAAACGCGTCAAGGATAAAGGACAATATTGGCTCCGTCTCCCACAAACCATTGTGCTTATACGGCAGAGTGTTCTTGCCACTTCAACGTTTTTATTCTCTGAATCTTGACAAACCCCAGTGGACGGATACCGCGATCCATGCGGTGCATGAGGGGTTAACCAGAGGGGAAGGAAGGATCGACGCTCAACCTGGTCTTTCGGATCCAGAGTAAGGAAATGGATGAGAGAAGATAACCACAAGAGATCGTTGAAAGGACTCTCTAAAAATGTACTTCTTCAGGGGATCCCAGGATAATACCAGGACAGATAAATCCCATTATACCCCTCACGCTATTACTTGAAAGTTGGGGTGAAATAGATGACTGGCCAATTGATTTTTTCCGACATCAGGATCGATTCTATGTGAGGACTTATTTGCGGTCACAGGACATTGACTGGACCTGCCGATTTTGGCTTATTGTTTGGGATTATACCCTAGATGTAGGATTACATTCTGGTACTGACTCCCCTTGTAGATTTTGATATCTAAATCAAGGTATTTAACAGCTGAGTGGTGTAACGGGAGAGCTCCCCGTCATTTGTTTCCTCCATATTTGATCAATTTTTTTCACATATTTCATATATTCAAAGGCTTATAAGCTATAAAAAAATGTTTTATACAATCACAAGTTTATACTACAACTGTCCCAGACACAAGTGGTAGATTTACCTTCAAACTATTGGAGGAAACAACACTTAGTCATATCCGTTATTATTAATAGCACTATATTAAAGAGAAGATTTGTATATTGTTTCATGGTGTAGTAGGTCACACACGTTTTTTTTTCGTTAAACATTTCACTTCCAGAAGGAATCACTTTATTAATTTATCCAACAATCACGAATGTGAGAGAGCACATGCACTAATTAATATTAGTGGTATATTAATATTAATATATATTAATAATGATATATAATACACAGTTGCGATTGTATATGTAGGTGGATACAGTTAGTTTCTTAGATCCTTGGTTCTCAACTGGTGGGTTGTGACCCAAAAGTGGGTCGCGACCCTGTGTTCAGTGGGTCACCACATGCCTTACACTTTTCTAGGTGAGAGGTTCCTCTGCCTCCCCCTAGTGCAGCACTGCCAGTTTTTGAACCAAGCAGCCATTCAAAATATGCTGCCCGGCGCCAAGTGTCAGCTTGAGGTGGGGTGGGATGAGGGGTATGGCAGTGAGGGATCTCCATCCAGACATACATTGCTTAAAGCTCCCTTGTGTGCCCTGTAGAGGTGACTGGACTGGAGTGATGTCACATTTTGGCTCCCGGCACCTCTACAGGGCACACAAGGGAGCTGTACCAGCAATGCACATATGGATGGAGCTCCATCAACAGCCCACACTGGATCCCAGGCTGAGGATCCATTCCAGTTCTCGTAAGATAGGGAGACTGGGTGCATCTTAAAAAAAACATTTTGTTGGAGTATGTATGTATGTGTCTGTGAGATTGTGTCTGTCAGTGTTTTTGAGGGCCCGTTCACACTAGTACAGTGCATTAATCACACAGTTCTGTGCAACTGACTCGCTGTACCAGTACCACTCAAAATCGCACCTACCGCAAATTCTGGTGTGCGAGGTGTGTTGCGTAGCCATTTATTTGAATGGTACCCCAAACGCACCTCCCTCCTACAGTTTGATCGCCAGCACTGGGACCGCAATGCCGTGCATTCCAGTGCGGTGCGACTTGGGTCATGACTTTATGACCAAAGACAAATGTGGGTCCTGAGGTTACACAGGTTGAGAACCTCTGTCTTAGATCATTTATTTACTCATTCTCTTTAGACACCAAGCGCAGCATACTATTGATTTAACTAAGTTATACCCCGTCAAAATCCAAAACTATATAAAGTGTTTGGCATTGCTTTATTTATGTATTTATTTATTAAGCAATGCCACTAGGCACCCTGACACATTTAAGATCTAATGTAAAATTCCAAATATGTGCAATTTTGTAAAATATAAATAATCCCTGACAATTCTGGTAAGCCTTGCTCCTTTATAAAGAGTAATAGGGATGGCTGTCATTGCCTGGTAGCTCCAAAAAGCAAACATTGGTCATTTTCTTTTCCACTCCCCATCCTTTTAGTGGATCTTTATACTTGCTGCATTGAAACATGCTTTTCAAAATGGTTTTATGATGACCAAACTACACCAATCAGCTGTACATTCAGATTGCAATGTGTATGGGGAACTTAGTGAAACATGATTATTATTTATTGGTTGTTGTGTGTTAATGAACTTAGCAATTTATATTATAATAGATGCTTCCAAAAATGATCATGTGTTTCTGATGGGACAATGCTGGAACAACATCAAATATATTTATATTTTATTTTTGTTCAGTTTCCAGGCAGATCTGCAACAATGGATTTCAGCTCATCTTTTCTGGATGGCATGGTTGGGGTGGGTGATATGATTCTGCTGGACACACTGACAGATGATTCCCTGCTCAAGAACCTGAAGGAAAGATTCAAAAACGATGAAATCTATGTAAGCATGCATTTATATTATAGCCATAGTTAAATAATAATAATCATAATAATAATGCAATATAATCTAAATAGACAGTGTTTTTTGTGCAGAAAATAATTCTAGGTGGCCAGTTGGTGGATCCAGTGAGCAAGTGGCTGTAGTGTCCACAGGATAGGCGCCTAGCTAATTCAATCCAATTGTACAATCTCTGCAGAATTAGCGAGAATAAATTAGTGTGATGGCCTACATAACTAATCTATTCAATATATATTCAGTCAGGTAGGCTATCATGCTAAGTACTCTTCGGAAAACTAAGGGAGATTTTGTAATCAGATGTAACTTGTTTGGCCAGTTTATGGATGCGACCTCTACACTTTAGACTGCAAGATATTATTTAAGTTTACCCACAGACATGAAATGATCATTGTCCATTCTTATTCAATATGATTGGTTCAAGAGACAGCCATATGCTTATTAACTAACCTGTAACGTTGAATGATCTAAGGTAAAGAGTTAGTTGGCTAGGATGGACTTTTCAGATTTGCTATTCTATCTATAGATAAGATCGATATAGGTTAATATTATACAGCTTGGATAGCATTAGCTTGCATGTTTATAACACAACTGTTGCTTGGGTTAATCAGATTTCCTGACTGCTTGACTGCCAGCCATGTAGCAATATAAAATGACATAATAAATGAATAAAATACACATCACTACCATCATCAATATTTTATAAAAACAAATGAACAGCTGCTACACTACAATTCAAGTTTCCACTAATGCATGATATAGGCCACAGGTGTCAAACACAAGGCCCGCGGGCTGGATCCAGACCATCAGGCCATTTTATGTGGCCCTCGCACCACTCCTGCAGCTTTAAATTTGTAAACTGAAGCCGGTGCTGTAAACAGGCGCCGGGCTTCACAGGAAGGCTGCTGAGGTCTCTAGCAAGGTCTCGACAGCCTTCCTGTAAATCACGTAGCCTATTTTCATCCTGTGAATCCATGCCACCCACCCCAGCTGAGATTGACCAGGACCCCAGGTGAGACCACACAGCCCAACATAGACCCTGCACAGCCACCTGAGATTCCGCACAGCCCACCATAGAACGTGCACAGCCACCTGAGAATCCGCATAGCCCACCATAAAACCTGCACAGCCACCTGAGAGTCAGCACTATTACACTAATTGACATTATTTTTCCTAGACTTCTACTTTCAGAGCTAGTTATTACTAAAACCAGTAATAATCAAATGCAGAGGCCCATATTTGATCTGATAAAGAGTAGATACATTTATATAGTCTTACAGATTCAACTGGCCCTTTGAGGGCAACCATAATACTGATGCGGCCCGTGATGAAATTGAATTTGCACCCCTGATATAGACAGTGGAATGCTACTATAAAACTATATATGATAAATAACTACTTTCAGTGTCTATACATCAAACAAACCATGCCAGTACGGCTAAGAAAATCTTGGTTCATTATATATTGTCAAATGATAAAAGTAAATATCCAGACCTCAAGAAGAGTAGGTGACCACCACCCTTGGAGCCATGCTCTCATGAGGAAGACTGATACAGGTAGTGTCAGGAAGAGAAGCTTTGCACATGGATATTTATAGTGATTTGCATACTTTTAGCATTTCAGTGATTTTATATATTTTTATTCTCACTTTTACTGCAAAAAAAACCTATTACACTAGGATGTATTTAACAAGCTTTATGACTTTCTTTGTATTTTAGAGTGTTATTCTTTTCACGGTTATCTGTGGTTCACAAAGTCAGGATTTCTGTTTTATCATTTGACATGCAATTTACGACTTTTTATACTGTGGACTTTGATGTACTGTTGATGATGTACTGTAATTGTTCTAACATTAATTGGATGATTAGTCTCCTGTATAGACAGTAGAGGGCTGATTTATAAATCTTGCCCAGCGTATAGCTGGGCCAATGCTGTTTGCAGAGCACTGCCACCACTAGATGGTGCTGATGAGCATAGGAATGTTCTATGCTCTCTGGCTCCATCTAGTGGCACTAGAGCCTTCACCAAGCTATACCAAGAAGACCTAAAGATCAGTTCCTAGGAGTACAATTTTATTCTAGCACTTTAGAGTCTATATTATTAACATAGTGTTGGGGAGTACTCACATAAATTGACTCAAGAGAAAAGATAATTGGCTTGGTTCTGCCTAATGAAGCCGAGATTAGTAAAAAAAAAAAAAAAAAAGGGTTGTAAGCCCAACACCACCCGGCCAT